GGAATTGAACTTTATAAGATCTTGAATTCAATACAACTCAAGAATAAAACGAACATACCTTTGTCAGCTATTGAATTAGAGAAGTCGAGAAAATACTCCTAATAGTTGAACCTTGAATTCTTGGCTCCCTTCTTCTCTCTGTCTCTCTTAATTAGGATGACTATAGAACTTAGAGTGATAGAAAAATACTCATATTACGTAAGGGGCGTCACACATCCTTATATAGAGGAGAGAAGAGGGCCAGATAAATTCTATTAGAAGAATTCCTACCCATCAAGGTTTCCTTCTTATCTTAGAAGAGTAATTATTCCATATTTAAAATTTTAATTACTGAACTTTATATCAAATATTGACTTTATCTAATTGTGAAATCGAAACTAGTCTAAATAAAATAAAAATCTAGAAAATATGTAGACTATTAGATCACACCAAAAAATAAATCCAACAACCAAACTTTCCCCTCTATCTCTCTTCATCTCCTCCTCCTCCTCTCTCTCTCTCTCTCCTCACTCACAAATTCGTCGCTGATCTCCTCCACCTCCTTCAATCTCCTCGCCGAAACCTACTCCGTCGCCTCCTCGACTCCTCGCCATCACCACCGTTCTCCGTCACCACCACCTAAAGAACAATCGTCGATTGAATCAGCATGTCGCCGAAGGCTTGTTCACACCGCCGTCGCAGCAGATCTCTTCCGCTGATCTTGCGAATGCCGTCGACGCCACACCTTCTTACCCAGTCGCGAACAATCTAAGCGAACACAGAGTTCCTCCATTTCTGAGGATTGAGTCACAGCGCCGCAAAGGTCTTGTAGCACAAGAAATACGAGTTCGCCTCAAGAAAGCCGTTCGATCCACTGACACGTCATTGATCCTTATCAGTTTGTGATTCAACCGCAAAACCATGGACTGTAAGAATTTTTTCTAAATATGACTTAATGTGGCTTATACATGATTATACTAGATTCATCTCATTAAGTAAGATACATGTACATCAATTAGATGGTGACTAATTATTGATGAATGCACCTGTATATACATAATGTATAGAAGACTAATAGAGATAGTGTCAACGCATTGAATGTGATAGATTCATTATGAATGAATCTTAGAGATGCATTATGTATCTATTATGAATGTAGAAGATACATTAATCTATCTAATGAGTTCATTAATATAAAAAATGGATTATGTATCATGAATGTAAAAGATACACTAATCTATTTAATGAAATTCATTGAATGAATGGATTCATTGAATGAGAAGAATACTAGTATAAATAGTGTAAGGTCCCAAACCACACTCTCTAACACAAAACTCAAGTTGTCACCGCAAGAAGGCTCTCATCGCCTAGAGAGAGAGAAGTGGTTTTAAGATCTTAGACAAATAAAGAATTTGAAGATCAAGGTCTTCTATTAAAGGTTTCTTTTTCTCAAAAGAGGTTTTCATACTATCATGGATCAATGTATGTATACACTTATTTATATAGTAGAAATTCATATAGTTTTCATGTATAAAATTGAAGCCTTAATGGTTTTTAGTTTATGTTCCGCAAAGTTTTCTATCAACCACTGCTTCCTCTCTCGTTATCTCACTCTATCGCTGTCGCAACGAAGCCCACACTCAGATTTATACTCAGATCGCACTGACAGTGAGAATGCAGAGTAGTGTTTGAGAACAACTCTAATGGAGGAGCGCCGAGTGGGAATATTTACAAGGTGTCGGTGTTCAAGCAGTCACCGAGCGTAATGATGGATGAAGCGTGAGAGAGATTGAAGAAGCCGTTCATCTACTTAAAAGGAATGCCCGTTGGTACCTTGGTTACTCTCGATCCCAGCGCTGAAGCTTTGAATTACAATCAGGTAAAACTTATTTCAAGACTGTGTGCTTGTTTGTGTATATGTGTGTGTGTGTGTGTGTGTGTGTATGTGTGTGTGTGTGTGTGTGTGAGTGTGAGAGAGAGAGAGAGAGAGTACAACTTATTTTCGAGACTATGTGTTTGTTTTTGTTTTTGTGTGTGTGTGTGTGTGCGTGCATGTGTGTGTGTGTGAGAGAGAGAGAAAGAGAGAGTGAGAGAGACAGAGACAGAGACAGAGACAGAGAGAGAGATAAATTAATACTTGAAGGATAAAGTTATGCTTGATTCTTGTTCTTGATCTTGTATCTGCTATCCAGATTGTTCGTAGTTTGCACAATGTATTATTGTTCATACTTTTGACAAATTATCTGTTTATCTCTGATTGGTATGTTGATCAATTGTTTGTGAGGTGTTCATTGGTTCGTTTTCTCTCTCTAAAATCTCTATATTTGTATATCTATGTGTATCGACCTGTATGTTTGATCGATCTTTTTTGTGATTTGTTTTGTGTAGATCGCTTGATCATCAAAGATGTTTGGGACAACATCGAAGATCACAAAGTACTATGGCCCTATTTGGTGTAGTTGTTAAAACAGATTATAGATTATACCTTAATAGATTATAGATTATAATTTTAATTAGAAGCTGTTAATCTGTTTAGTATAACTGTTGGATTATAGATTTAAGTTAGTGAGTAGTGTTTGTTAAATAAGCTGTGAAGTAGCTTTTTTAATTAGCTTTTATTTTTTATTATTCATTACTTGTCTACATTTCTCATAAAAATAATAATAATTTATAGTCCATTTGAATCTTTTTCTATTTTTAAAAAAATAAAAAATAAAAAATCTAAGAGTATAATCGTAAATTGACATGTCCACAGCAGAAACTGATAATCAGAAGTAAGGGGTGAGTAGCTTCTCAGAATTAGCTTTTTGAGTTAAAATAAATTGTTAGAATCAGAAACTGTTTGAAATAAGTTTAATCAAACAGTCTAAAATAGTTTTTTTCAAAACTAGAAGTTATAAGTTAGCTTAAAAAAGCCCAAACAAATCTCCCTATGAAATTCTTGGTTTTTCAAATTTTTTTTTGGGTGTTGTTTGGTTGTTGAGAAACTTGGAAATGAGAAGAAAGTGAGGTTGTGAATCTTTAAATTTGTACAGATAAAATTTTGGTTGTTGTTGTTGTTGTTGTTGATCTTCATTTATTATTTTCCTTTTTCTAATTTTAGGTTAGGCTTTGGACAAAGATTATTTTTGTGGTGTTGTTGATCGTTGTTGTTGTTGATGATGAAGCTTGGTTCTGCAACTTTGGTTGAAAAATCAATTTCTATTTTTTCATAATCCCTTGTTCGGTTCTCCAAAAAAGAAAGAAAAGAGTTTGGAGATTTGGATTTGGAGGATTAAATAGATAGAGGATTGAAATAGATAAAAATTCGATAAAGATAGAATTTAAACAGATAAGGGGAAAAAAATTAAACAAATAGAGGGAAAAAATCAAATTGATAGACAAAACATTTGAATAGATATATATACATAAATTTGAGCGGATAGACAAAAAATTTAAATAGATGGATAAAAAATCTGAACAGATAGAAAATAATTTGAACATATAGATATAATTTTAAATAGATACTTAAAAAAAATCAACAGATAAATTAAGGGATAAAGTTGAAAATAAAATGTCATTTAAAACTAACAATAAGATTTTTTACCAAATTATTTCATAAAAGATAAACTTTTCACCAATAAAAAATACAGTTCCGATTTAGAGTACTAAATCAGCAGCTCTAAAAGCACCAAATCAGCAGCTCTAAAAGCACCACTAATGAGTTGACAAGTGCAAGAAAAAAACTAAAAAACAAATCATATCAGTAGTGGAGTCCACATGATGCCATGTCATTAGTAGTGCATTAGTGATATAATTAGTGGTATGAAGCATTTTTCTAAAAAATATTTATTGGATCTAATGCCTTGCACAATTGCCAAATTGAGCTTTTTAACAATTATCTTTAAAGAAAAAATAAAAAATATTATTGGAGATAATAGTTGAAAAAATAATTTCCTAAAATAGGAAATATACCTTTTAACTAAAATTTGAAGAAAAATAAAGAAAAATTATTGGAGATGCTCTTAGCTATAAAACTCAAATCTAAACATTATGTCTGATAAGAAAACACTTTAACCACCCCCAATAATCCTTAGGTCCCGTTTGGGGACTTACTTTTTTAGCTAATTAGTCAAAAAATTACTAAATTAGTCAAAAAGCCAACAATTCATACCAAAAAGTCAAAGATTCTCTTTTCTCTCTACTTTTTACACATCTTTTCGTAATAAAAAATACAGTTCCGATTTAGAGTACTAAATCAGCAGCTCTAAAAGCACCAAATCAGCAGCTCTAAAAGCACCACTAATGAGTTGACAAGTGCAAGAAAAAAACAAAAAAACAAATCATATCAGTAGTGGAGTCCACATGATGCCATGTCATTAGTAGTGCATTAGTGATATAATTAGTGGTATGAAGCATTTTTCTAAAAAATATTTATTGGATCTAATGCCTTGCACAATTGCCAAATTGAGCTTTTTAACAATTATCTTTAAAGAAAAAATAAAAAATATTATTGGAGATAATAGTTGAAAAAATAATTTCCTAAAATAGGAAATATACTTTTTAACTAAAATTTGTAGAAAAATAAAGAAAAATTATTGGAGATGTTCTTAGTTATAAAACTCAAATCTAAACATTATGTCTGATAAGAAAACACTTTAACCAACCCCAATAATCCTTAGGTCCGTTTGGGAACTTACTTTTTTAGTCAATTAGCCAAAAAATTACTAAATTAGTCAAAAAACTAACAATTCATTCAAAAAAGTCAAAGATTTTCTTTTCTCTCTATTTTTTGCACATATTTTCGTAATTAGCCAAAAAATCATTCCAAACATACAAATTTTTTTTACCTACTTTTTTAACCAAATAACCAAAAAATTACTAAATTAGTTTGTTCCCAAACGAGACCTTAGTCTGTGTTTAATTGAAAGATTTAAAGAAAAATTTAAAAAAGAAAAAATAAATGTGTGAAATAAAATAAAATAAAAATATATTTTGATCGCATTTCACCTACCTTCTTCAAATTCCTTACCAAACCATCGTTAGTAAATGAATCTTCTCAATTTTTATTAACACATGATTTGCAATGTCGAGAACTTACAAAAGTTGGCTTGTTTTGATACACAAAATCTAGAAGCTGAGTGGACACGGAGTAAGTGGACAAATAAATATTTTAAATTTTAATGAGATAGGATTCACATCCTTAAGGACTGTTTTTAACATTTTGCAATTTTACAAAAGTTCTTGAGAAAGGGCCACTGGGGGATGGCTGCTAAGTAAGGACATCCTTGCCTGGTTGGAACCATTGGAGAGATGCCCCATTGGTGAACTTTGGTTCCTTTGCAGCCCTTAGCCAACCCCTGGGAATCAGAAGCCAGAATATTAACAATACAAGCTGGCATAACAACAAAGACAACTATGCCTACTGGTCTGGTGAGTTGTCCATTAGCCAAACGATCCACACATCCATTTCCTTCGCGAAAGATATGGTTAGTCTTCACAACCCCTAGCTGCTTCCATGAGGATCCAGCTCTCTTCATGTCCTCTGCAATTTCAACAGTAACTCATTAGTCAGGACTAAATTTTGCAACTACCACTCCAAAAACTAAACAATAAAATACACGTCTGATACTGAAATTAAAACCGAGTAGATGGGCTGTCCTGGAGAACAATCAGGACAAGAATGAATTTTGAATGGAATGAGCCTGCCTTACAAACAGGGCTGTCTCTACTATCTTGTAGAGAGAATTGAATAATAAGTCAAAAGTTCCAGAGCTTTCAGGCTTCTCACCAGAGCCAGCCTTTTGTGTTCAATGTGAGTTGACAAACCTTTTCGGCAACCATGAAGTAGTGATGTAGCTAATATTCCTGTTATATCCAACCTTCATTCTGCAGTGCATGAGATATGATTATTAGAGCTTCTTGCCTTATGAGATCTCATACCTCAGAGGTGGTTTGAAGGCTTGCCATCATTGAAAATGGCAAGGATAAAACTGAATGCAACATGCTATGACAAGAGGAAATTCAATTGATGTTATAGCACTACACCACTAACGTCCTACATGAGGCATAAAATACTGAAAAACAGAAAGGGCAAGAAATTATGCATCCCTCCTAATCAAAAAACATCAATTAATACGAGTAAAAAGTGTCACATAATTTTTCATAGGAACACAACAAATTTCTAAAACAAAAGAGAGGGCAAAGGGAGAAACACACACAAACACAACTACTCGATTTTTCATTCAGGAACCCATAAGCAAGTATTTACCATACACTTCATTCCCAAGGGTAGTTTCAACTCATTTTCCAACCCCTGCAAAGAGGAAAATTTCAGTAGCGATACACCACCAAATAAGCATTCATGAATAATGAACCCAACTGAAGAACGACAAGGCGTCCATAAGAAAAATAACAGAATTCAATTAAAAAATATATATTACCTAAGCCCTTAGTATTAATCATTGATCAATAGAAACCACTTGACTATTTTGAATTCACATGGATCCTCGCTGCATAAGATACATAGCATTAAGACCACATTAGAAAGTTCAAAAGCAAATTAACTTGTTCAACATACATGTAGAATATTAGTCAATAGTCCATCCCTCAGAATCATTTACTCTTCAATGAAGATCAGTCCACTACTTTTATCATGCAAAGCATTCTTCACAGGGATGCAGAACAATATTCACACACACACACACACAAACAGATGTAAAAGCAAAAACAGAGACATGAATAACTACTTCCATTCAGAAATTGACGGGTTCTATGCATGAATTGTCTTGGAAAATTTATCTTGGCACCCTACAAAAAAATAAATAAAAACAAACTGATTAAGTAGAGTAGGAAAGAAACCTTAAGAGCGTCTTATGACTGACTCCTGAGAAAAGGAGAAAGAATCACATTCCGATTGTTTGAACTTGAAGCACTACATTCCTAAAGTACCATTTCATTTATTAGTCTCTCCTACATCCTATGAAGAGCAGCAAGGCCCTCAGGTTTCTGAAGCTGACTACTTTAGAAAGTGCCGACCATGAGAAGACAACTTTCAGCACTATAAAATCAAATTCCAATCCAGCAAAAAAAAAAAAGGGAATCAAATTTCCATGAGGAAGATTCATGAAGACAGCATAGCATAGAAGTATAAACAACACTTGTATTATACCCCTATGAACTCAATACTTGTCAATGGTTGTCAGCCCACTACTGTTAATCCATCTGTCATTAACTAGGGCAGGTTGAGAGGTTGTTCAAGCCCAGCCCAAGTGGTGCTGAGACCTATTCAGGCCTGCCTATGCCCGAATTGCAACCCGAAATTGTCTATCCAACCCCAACACGAGTTAAACATGAATTGCCCAAATTGTGCATGATTTTTTTTTTCCAGCTAAATTGTTAATTTATTAAAATTAGACTATTTATATTTTTTTTGTAGGAAATCATTAACAACATCAAAATAAATAATTTATATAATGTAAGCAGGGACGGATGTATTTGTAGACAGTGAGGGGTTATGGCCCCCCTATTCAAAGGAAACAATGCTATTGGGATGATATGCTATGTTGTCCAAAACTTTCTTGTTATTACAAATGGCCCCTGCCTACCTTAGGAATATTGAAAACTGTGTCTTAATAAAACAAGTTTATCTGTATGAAAGAATTGGAACACCAAAAAAATAGAATTATTATCTTTTTTTTAATTTATTTAATAAAAGCACAATTTAACAGTAATAATACATTAATTATATTATTTTATCACAATTTGTTTAACACCACATGAAGCATACTTATAATGCTGATATCATATTAATGAGATTCACATGAGACCTAATAAAACTTTTGAAATTTGAAAAAAAAAAAAAAAATTACTTTCACTTTAATAGATAATTGAGTTAACATATACAAAGAATCAACTAATTTATAATTTCTCTTTTATTTATATATTAAAGTTGAGTAGATATGACTTCTTTTTTAATAATGTGAAGACTAAATAGATAATAAATTTTATGTATTATTTAAGGTAGTCGTTATTCCTACTCCACTTTACTCCAAATATACTATATTGTTTTTCTTTATTATACATAGTTACTATTTTCACTCCCCTTTATTCCAAATATACTGCTTTCTATGAATAATAAAAATAAAGTTGAGAGTGTATTTGAAATAAAGTTGAATGGGAATAACAATTCCCTTATTTTAATATCAAATCTTAATTATTTTTGATTTTTGAATTGAATATGATAGTAGATAACAATTGATATATAAAAGAATTTTTTTTCTCATATCTCGGCCTCTCCGTAATTGATATTCTAGTTTCGTCCTTAAATGTAAGATAGCTGCGCTATGGTAGTCTTTACAATTTATGAGTGAGAATAAAAAAAGTAAGATTTTATGTTACTTGTGTATATAATATATATTATAATTTAACCCCCTGTGGTTTACCCCAAAAACATGGAACCCTCTTATAGTTTCATTTGTAACACTTAAACCCCTAGACTTTATACCATGTTGTAATTTTTAACGGACGTAACAGAAGTGCACAAAACGACGTCGTTTTGTGTACCGCCTAATTAAAAAAAAAATAAAAAAAAAAGAAAAAACAAGAAAGGAAGAGAGAGAGAGTGAGAGTGAAAGTTAGAGAGAGAGAGAGATTGAAACCAATCCCAGTTCTTTCTCAGCTCAACAATGGCTTGTCTAGAATGGCTTCAAGGGTTTTACCAACAACAACAACATTAGCCTAAAAATAAAATAAGAAAAAGAAAAAACAGAAAAGGAAGAGAGTGAAAGTTTGAATTTGACATTAAAATCAAATCAAGAGCAAGCACAAGCATGGCGCAGTAGACATGCAAATGATGGTTAAGGTAGCGACATTCTTCATCATCATCATCCCCTCACAGTTCCTCGAAACTCTAACGTAGTTGAAGTGAAGGAAGCTCGGGTCTGAAGTGAGGCCGAGAAGCCTACTCTCATGAGGCGGAGAGTTTAGAGAGAGAAAGATATATGTGTTGATCATTACCATCAAACCAGCAAGCAAAACAACCTGAGTGTTGTGTCCATCTATGTTTGTTTTGTTTTCGACTTCAAAACTGCCCCCTGCCCATGCACACCGAGAACCACCCTCTCTTTAAACATTTTCTCTAAACAAAATATATCTTTTACCACTTCACTCTCAACACCACTCAGCCCGCAAAGAGAGAGAGAGAGTGTGTGTTGTGTTTTCTCCTTACTTCATGGCTTTGAAACTCTCTGTCTCAGAGATGGGTTCGTTGGTTGGTTGGTTTTTCTTGTTAGAGAGAGCAAGTGTATGCGTGTATCTATCTGTGACAGGAAAGAGAGAGGGATTGGTTTGACCTTGTGTGAGTCTCTCATTTGTGTGTGTGAGTCTCTCACTTGTTCTCCACCCGTCACATGGCCTTGTGCTGGGAGGGGGAAAATGAGTATCTGTGGTGGTGTGAGTGTTTCTTCTTCCCCACTCCACCCCCATTGCCGAGAGAGAGAGAGAGTGTGTTATGTGTGTGTGTGCAGTGTGCCCTCTCTGTTTGGGTCCAGGAAGAGAGCGTAGAGAAGATAGATCGAGAGATTGAGCTTGTCCACTCATGTTGAAGCTCCAACCTTGTATATAATGACAGCTCGCTAGCAGACCTATTGAAGCAAAGAAGCCTACATACATGGGGTCTTCAAAAATCGGAGACAGATCGATCTGAAATGTCAAAATTGAAGAACTGGGTTTTGTCGAAGAGAGTGAAAGCGAGACATTCAATTCGTTTTTGGCAGAATCGTAGTCGATCCATCCCTGAATCATGGGAGAAAAAGGAAGGAAAAGATGTGGAGAAATTGCTTGTAACTTGGGAAAGGGAACGAAAAACTCCTTTTTTTTTTTGGCAAGAAAATCTGATTTGGAAGCTTTTGTGTTTGAAGAAGATGACTAATAAAACTATGTTGAAGCTCCAACCTTGTATATAATGACAGCTCGCTAGCAGACCTATTGAAGCAAAGAAGCCTACATACATGGTGTCTTCAAAAATCGGAGACAGATCGATCTGAAATGTCAAAATTGAAGAACTGGGTTTTGTCGAAGAGAGTGAAAGCGAGACATTCAATTCGTTTTTGGCAGAATCATAGTCGATCCATCCCTAAATCATGTTCCCACTCTTGAGATTGATTGATTGCATTGTCGAATTGCCTTGTACATAATACCCAGCGCTCACCGAATCATTGGAGATCATGCCATTGATATCGATGCCGAGGTTGGAGGAAACCATTGTTGTGGATCTTTGCAACACCGTTTAGGCTTATGTTGTTGTTGTTGGTAAAACCCTTGAAGCCATTGTAGACAAGTCATTGTTGAGCTGAGAAAGAACTGGATTTGGTTGCAATCTCTCTCTCTCTCTTCCTTTCTTGTTTTTTCTTTATTTTATTCTATTTTTTATCAGGCGGTACACAAAATGACGTCGTTTTGTGCACTTCTGTTACGTCCGTCAAAAATTACAACATGCTATAAAGTCTAAGGGTTTAAGTGTTACAAATGAAACTACAAGAGGGTTCCATATTTTTGGGGTAAACCACAGAGGGTTAAATTATAATTTACCCTATAATTTAATAATCTAAATTACTTCCATATCATGTAGTTACTAATAATTTATATGTAAATTTAATATTTTTATATATCTATATATCTATAATTTGAGTTTTGGATTACTCGGGTTGTTTTATGCATTTTCCCAAACCCGTCCAAATTTAATTCGGGTTTCTTAATTTTTACCCAAGCCCGTACCAAATTCAAAAATATATTGTCCAAGCCCTAAAAAAATTTCGGACTAGACTCGGGTTGCTCAAGTTGAGCCCACCCAAGTTGCACTGTTATTTGTATATATAATATATATTCAATATACTTTAATAATCTAAATTACTTTAATATCATGTAATTACTAATAATTTATATGTAAATTTAATATTTTTATATATCTATATATCTATAATTTGAGTTTTGGATTACTCGGGTTGTTTTATGCATTTTCCCAAACCCGTCCAAATTTAATTCGGGTTTCTTAACTTTTACCCAAGCCCGTACCAAATTCAAAAATATATTGTCCAAGCCCTAAAAAAATTTCGGACTAGACTCGGGTTGCCCAAGTTGAGCCCGCCCAAGTTGCACCCTATGCAATACATAGCTTGAGAAAGAAATACAAAGGAAAAAAAAAAACCATCAATAATAAATAAAAAGCAATAGACAAACCTAAGCAAGAAAAAAAAAACTAGTTCCTTTAAAAAGTTGACAATCATGCAAGTTGAATGAGAAGAAAATGAATCATAAAAGAGAATCATTTGTACTAGAGTAAATTCATATCAACATCCCTCAGAATTGGTTGCTCATCAACAGAGATCAGTCCACTACTTTAAATTTTCATATCATTCCTCACAGGGATGCAATGCATAATTCTAGAAAAAGGAAAAAGTAATGATTTAAAAAAAAGAGAAAAAAAAAAGGTGAGATAAGATAAAATTATTTGACAGTTTTTCTCTCAAATAAATCAAGCAAACAAATACAAAATAACATCAGCACTGAATCAATATTTTCAAAATGAGTCCTTTAGAAGATTGGAAGTGAAACAGGTAAAAAAACAAAAGAATAGGAAAAGGAAGCAGAATATTGGGTTTGTCAACTCGGCATGTATTAAAGATTAGAATTCTTTTGCATTTATTTTCTTTGGAACATTTTTTGCTAACCAATCTGAGACTTATCTGAAAACCAGAGAGAGAGAGAGAGAGAGAAAGAGAGAGAGAGGTCACCTGAGGTTAACCACGCAGTTGCGGCGCAAAGTAGGGCAGAAGCAAGACACAAAGGAAACCTAAGAGAGAGAGAGAGAGAGAAGCCTGAGATGGGCGGTTTATGTAGAGGAGTGAAGGGTGAAGTTTAGAAGGCTGTTCGGCTACATGGATAATCCTATTCCAAAGGTAGTGAATTTGATATCTTCTTTTTATTCAATACTTACGGCGGTGTTTGGCAAGATTTGATTTTGGATTTTTTTTTTTTTTTTTCACAAAAAGATAAAGTTTTTTTAAAATAAAAAAAAATAAATCTAAACAAAATATCACATCCAATTCTATAATCATTTCGTTTTTTCTCTCACAAACATCATATCTAACCACAAAAAAATCTAACTATCTTCTCAAACACCAAAAAAATTTTATCCAATAATATCCTACAACTAAAAAAATCTACATAAAAACACACTTTCTAAACACCCACATAATGTTCCAAATAAATTAAATAAAAAAAGTTACAAAACAATTTATTAAAAGGAAAATTTACCTATAAGTCCTAGTTTCTGAAAAGTTGAACCGTTTAGTCCTAAAAGTTTTCTTATGCTCCATTTAGTCCCATTTGCACATCAATCTAATGTTTGAAACATTAATCTGATGTTCGAAATCTAATGTTCGAAACATTAATCTGATGTTCGAAATCTAATGTTCAAAACATTAATCTGATGTTTGAAACATTGTAATGGGACTTTTCAGTCTATAAGAAAACTTTTAGGACTAAACGGTGTATAAATTATTAATTTGGGATTTATTGGTGCATCCCCCAAAATAAAAATGATAATTAATTATCAATTCAATGAAAATGTGGTGGTTAAATAAACTTAATAAAAATGGTTTGCACCTTACTTAATGAAAATAATTTTTTTTTTTAAAATCATTTTAGTGAATTCTCTTGTCAGCATCTCCAATTATTTTATTAACTTTTTATAAAATTTTGATTTTTATTTCATATGAATCACTTTAATTCTTAATTTTTTTGTCAAATTTTTTATAAATAAAAAATAAAAAAACAATGCAGATGTAAGAAGGATAAGGATCCAGGTTGCAGGACGTTTGGTCGGAATAACCAAACACTTTACTTTAGGTTGGCTGGAAAAACCAATCTAAAAGTTGGCTGGAAAAACCAACACCCTTCCTAAGTCCAGGATAAGGATCCAGGCTGCAGGACGTTTGGACGGAATAACCAAACACTTTACTTTAGGTTGGCTGAAAAAACCAATCTAAAGGTTGGCTGGAAAAATCAACACCCCTCCTAAGCCCAGGATAAGGATCCAGGCTGCAGGACGTTAGGTCGGAATAACCAAACGTTTTATTCTAAATTGGCAGAAATAACCAATTTAAGGGTTGGCTGGATTAAACCAACTTTTGTACTCTTTCGCCGAAGAAGAGGACATCGGCTAAAGAGTGGTTGGTTAGACTAAACCAACTCCTAGTACTCTTTAGCCGAAGTTAAAAGACATCGGCTAAAGAGTGGTTGGCTGGACTAAACCAACTCTTGTACTCTTTAGTCGAAGAAAAGGACATTGGCTAAAGAGTGGTTGGCTGGATTAAACCAACTCCTAGTACTCTTTAGCCGAAGTAAGGACATTGGCTAAAGAGTGGTTGGCTGGACTAAACTAACTCCTAGTACTCTTTAGTCGAAGTTAGAGGACATCGGCTAAAGAGTGGTTGGCTGGACTAAACTAACTCCTAGTACTCTTTAGCCGAAGTAAGTGCATCGGCTAAAGAGTGGTTGGCTGGACTAAACCAACTCTTAGTACTCTTTAACCGAAGTAAGGACATCGGCTAAAGAATGGTTGGCTGGACAAAACCAACTCAGAGGTTGGCTGAATTAAACTCTTATTACTCTTCAGCTGGAGTAAGGGTTTAGGCTGAAGAGTGATTGACTGAATTAAACCACTCTTGGTACTCTTCAGCCGAAGTAAGTATATCGGCAAAAGAGTGGTTGGCTAGTAAGGTCAGTCAGATTGCTCAGCTAAGACCAAAATAAATTATCTCGACTGAAAAATATTATGTTTCGTTCAAGTTGCAGTTAGAAAGTAAGCACAAACAGGAAAGTAAACCGAGATAACAGTTGGAGCAAAAGAATTCATCGAAAAACTCATTACAAGTGCAAGCATACAGATCAAAACCGGAATAAGTGTTGAATACAAAAGATGATTTTCATTGATCAAATTCAAAGCAAATACAAAGGAGGGGCCTCAGTCCGGTTACAAGACCAAAAGGGAAAAAGAAAATACTAAAAACAAGCAACAAGAAAAGAAAGTACAGAATCAGTTAAAAAGATCATCTATTTCGGCATCAAGATCAGCTTCAACATCAATTCGAAGACCGGTTTCAGACGAGAGCTCGGCTTCGATCGGAAGTATGGTCTCTGTTGGAAGCACGGTATCAGTTGATTGCTCAGTAGTCAGGTCTTCCACTGTAGGCTCCGCCCGAGCTAACTGATCGGCAGGATCATTGACGACCGGGGTGTCGTTAGGCTCGGTTTCATCATCATCTGAACCCTCAAGAAACTGTTGTTGAGCGGATGCAGCATACTCCGCCCGTGAGCTCGGTATGAAGTACTGAGGAGGATTGTAGACCTCGGTCTCAGGTTCACAACCGAGCTGCACTACGGCTGCCCTCCAACTGCATTTAAAGAAAAGATCTTTAGCGGCCTCACATTGTCGCATGTAGAGGGCCTCCCTCTCCTTGAAACCTGCAGCATTCGCATCATCCGCCTTCTTTTTTAACTCGGCAATCTCTGCATTTTTCTTTCCTTCGAGCTTGACTAGCTCGCGAAGGTACTCATCCTTCATCACGGTCAGTGCCTTCTGTTTATCAGCATTAGCCGAGGTAACTAGTCCGGTTAGACGAGCTACCTCGGCCTCTAGCTCGGCTGTCTTCTGTTTGGATTCTTTTAGCTCGGTGGTCTTTTCTTCAACTTCGGCCATGGCTTACCTTGCTGTTTTGCGAAGCTCCAGCACACGCTTATGGGCGATGTGGCTCTTCTGCATGGCTTGCAAAAGAAGGAAAGACTCGTGATCAAACCGAGATGAAAGTTGTGCAAATTAGAAAGATCAACAGAAAAATCTACTTACAAGCACCATGGATTTCGTGGCCGAACGAATGGCTTTTAGTTCGGTTAAATTTTTGTGATGCTCCATGTCTGCTGGGAGGCAAACACTCCTGGCAAGATTGAATGCCATCATGTGATCCTTTTCAGCGACCACCGAGTCAGTGTCCTGAATAGCTCGGTTTTGAAAAGTGATTTTGGGCGTCCATTTGGAGGAGCCAGCCCGGTCGGAATGCTCTGGTTGTGGGCTCGGTAGAGGGCTTGGTGGAAGAAGGGTTTCATCTTCGTCAACAAGGCGTTGCTCGGTTTGGGTAGTCCAGGCACGCTTGCTGGGACGAGATGAGGAGGGTTGTTGAATGGAAGAGCCACCACGGTTTCATGAGTATGGGTGGTTGGTGGTACTTCGGCTGGGTGTGTTTCGGTTAGAAGGGCTCTCACTCTGTTCCTTTTCGCCATCTCTTGTTCAGTAGTAGTACGGATCAGGTTAATTTGTGGCAAGGTTGGATCCGGTTCAGGCGATGCCTCCAACAAAAAGTCTGTCACTCTGGCTTTTCGTTGACTGCTATATTTGTATGTCGGCTCAAAATTGAGCAGCTTGGCCCAACTTCTCTCAGGATACCGTAGTGCGGCGCGAAGTATGTTTAGGTTAGGATAACTGTTCAGTGACTTGAGATGGGCTGAGTCTGCATAAAGAAGACAACTGTCAGTTCGGTTTAGGAACAGGAAACCGAAATAAAAAGAGACATGCAATAGAGCCGAGGTAATTATCCCGGTGGTCCCTTTATTCCAGTTTATTCGGTCACCAGGAATGTGGGCTTCTTGGTCCTCGAAGTTCCCAGAAACCCAGAGGAAATCATCGTCGTTCAGGTCTTTATCCGGTGTGTCCATTATTATTTTCTCTCGACGACGGCGTATCCTTAGATAATAGACCCAGCCATCTTCTTTTGATCTTATTGAATATTGATGAAACAGTTCGGCTAAGCCGAGGTTAATCCCAGCTTGGCGGTTTAGCTCGGCTATACCATTTATTATACGGTATAAGTTTGTAGAAAGCTGAGTTGGGCATATCCTAGTTTGCCTAAGGAATTCACAAAGTAAGGGATGTACAGGGAATCTTCGCCCGGTTTCTACAATGGAAAGGAGGGTGAAGGGAACAAAACCAGGGTTTCCCCAATGTATGATGTCTTGTTCGGCTAAGGTGAGGTGGACGTCGTCAGGAATGTTACATTCCCTTCAGAATTCGGCCAGGCCACCAGGTGTTTCTACTAAAAACCTATATTTACCCATTTACTCTTAAGTTATGTATAATTTTATTGTAATAGCTCGGTTAAAAAATGACGCTGAATAGCTCGGTCGAGCGTACGAAGGAGTGCCTGGCAACCTAAGTCTGCAAAGTGAAAAAAGAAAGGGATTATGCACAGATCGATAGACCGTGGTAAAAAGAAATCAAGGTAAAATAAATGAAGTCCTATCTCGGTTATGTGAACTACGAATCTTAGCTCGGTTTTCAGCAATGGTTATGTTAGCTTGGTTCCAGCAAGGTGTTTGATAGCCCCGTTGAGCCTCAAGGGGCAGCTTTCTTAGTTCGGTCTGAACTTGGAAGGCTGGTTTAGCCCCTAGATTCAGCTCGGGCGTAGTTAAGATTTTCAAGGCCTGACTTGTTAGGACTACAAATATAGCAAATTAGCTCGGTCGGTTGGTCCGGCTAGACTAATATCAACTACAAAACGACTTTTTAGTTCGGTTATACTATGATTTTGGATCAATGAAAGTATTTTTTAGTTTATTCGTGACAAGCCAAAAATTTTATTACACAAGAGAGGGGAATGTGTTTTGAAAAAACACACAAAATACATGTATTGTAAAAGCAAAAATAACAAAAACAAGGCAGGTTTGAGTAAGCTTACCAAGATAAGAGAAGATGAGAGAAACGGCAGCACAACCACGAAGCTTTTTCGAATACAGATCGAAGAACTCAGCAAGCTCAAGAACGAGAGGGAGAGAAGAGGAAGTGAATAGTGCAGTGCTTTGATCCAAAATGAAGAGTTTTTGTTT